AGGATGATAAAAGTTCCCTTCACATGCATGTGACAAACATAATTCTCATTTGCATTCCTTAGGATAAATGTCACTTTCCTGAAATGCAGAGTAGTTACTAAATTACCTTTATAGGAGAGACAGTAGTAAAGACTTGGAATCTAATTCTGCCCTGTCTCCTCTGTCCCTCTCTGCCTCCAAATCTTTCCATTCACCTATATTGAGGTGTTCTGTTTTCATTTAGGCTTCCTCCAAAAAAGGCTTAAATTTACAAAAGTGATGCAGTGTGTCCTTTTGGTAGTATTTAAGGTCAGATTATCACAACAGTTTAAGATTCAATTTTCCATGGCTGTTCTGAAAAACCAAGCCACTGGTTTAGATATTCAAACGGGAGTTGACCCAGCCATTGACTATTTCTAGCAAGGCGTTATTAAACATGACCTGCTTCTCAAAACAGGGCGTCCTTCCAGTGCCAGGTGTCTGGATGCATTAGCTGGTATCTGAAGAAAATGACTGTGGCAGAACCTCATTTGTAAGTTTACTTAAGAGCTACTCGGGTATCCTGACGTGAAATTTCCTCATTTGCTTCCAGTGAAACAGTGTCTTTTGTCAGTTTTGACTTTTTCATTTGCAAAAGGAATGCCAGATGTTACAGACTGAGAGATAATTAATAGATACATTAATACATAGGACACAGAAGACATATGTGCAGAGTATGTGTGAGTGGTTTTTTCCTATATGAATTTCATTACTACATTGACAGTTATGTTTATGGGCTCTCTGAGTCAGCTAAACATGTCCAGTACTTTCTATTCTAAACCCTCAGTTTTAGCAGCTTGCAATTTTTACAACTTAAACACTAGTGTCTGGGCCAAACTGTGACAGTTCTTCCCATTAGTCCCTCAGATGGGAGCCATCCCATTCAAGTTTTGGCAAACATACTCATATTGCAAGGCATAAAGAGACAAAGAGAGTGAGCCCCCATAGGAAGGCCCATGAGGCTGTTAATCACCTTGTATTTGGAATTAGGCTAATATGGTACTCAAGATGATGCTTAAGGACGCACACTGACCAATGAAAGTAAAAAGAAGTATTGAATAGAGCTGCCCATTCATTGAACACTGTCCACCCTGCTCAGTGAATGAAGTAGCGTGTCTTGAAGAAAAATAGTGACAAACACGTCCTTAGATTGCAATCAAGAAGTGAGTGAGCAGAACCTTTGGTCTGGCATGCTCAGCATTTAACAATTTGTTTAAGTAACCTTAGTAAGGTCCTTGGAGAAGAAGGCGGGAGCGATGATTACTTCTTGAAGGTGATAACAAAGAGTCCATCAAAGCTGTTAGCCTACTGTCCCTTTGACTGAAAACCAGAGGAAAAATAGTTAGGGTACTCTAAGTTTAGCTTAATTTTGAAGCCTTTAGTTCCTCTGTTTCTGATTCACCACAAATGGAAATGATTCCAGGTAGACTAAGACATTTCAGTGAGTACTTTATACCAGTAGCTTCCAGCTGCTTTTTAAGGTTGGCATAGGGGAATATCTGCTAAGGGGAATAAATGGTAGGCTGCAGTCAGGCTGTGGGCTATTTAGGGGGCACGAAGCAAACAAGAGAGTGATGGTCAGGCTTGCAGGTCATCAGAGTACGTTCAGCAGAAGTGTCCAAGGAGAGCATTTTAGTAGCCTAGACTTCACTACTTCTGCAGGAACACTGCCCTTTCCAGATACTGCTGTGGCCATCTCAAATGTGAACCGTCTCCTTACCCTTCCCCTTCCCCATGCTTCAATTTATGGAAAGATTAACCTAGTGGGAATAAACAAACCACAGAGAGGCTTTCAACTTCAAACAAGCCCTCTTACCCTTGGTAGATAAGTGAAATGATAGATACAAATTCCCCTCAAATATTATGCCCCATTGTGGTGTGATTAGTACTACTATTATTGTTATGATAATGCGCCATAATAATATTAATAAATTTTTTATGTTCAGGCCAAATTTCTAGTTTTCTCGGGGGGGGGCGCGGATATTTCAACATATTGCAATATCCTGTGCTACTACTTTAGGCATAATGACATACCTCTCTTATACCAGCATGACTGTAGGACTCTCACTGTACTCACTCATTTTTACATAATTTGTTTTCAAGATCCATGTTCTGTCTGGTTTTTCCCCATTTCAAACTACCAGGATGCCTTCCAAAACCAGCCCCATTCAGGCAACCGCAAAGTCAACAAGCTTGCTTACCTAGGAGGCCAAAGACTGATGCAACAGGCAAGCCCTGGTCTCATTTACATCTATACTAAATATGGACCTGTTCTTCTGCATAATGTGAACTGTGGCTGAGCCTCAGTTCTGAATCCCAGGAACTTTTGGGTCAGATACATTGCCAATATGTAGTTGTCTAATCTCCGGCGCACAGTTTTGAAACAGCTTAGCCATGATTCTCTGAGGAGGTTTGATTTAGTGTGATGGAGATCAGAAACTGAAGAAGAAAGAATTATCCTGGTGAAAAAAGGAAATCTGTCTTGTAGAAATGCCATTTTGAGAGCTTGAGATATGGTAATTAAGTGTAAATACAGAATAAATGCTGCTTCTTTAAGCCCTTTAGTTATTCCTCAGTGGGAGGCAGGGAGATGCATGCAAATTATTTCCAAGCTGCCTAGTCCCACAGTAAACCAAGTAGTTAGAAATTACAATGAATTAAAGATTGAAGCTTCTCGTAGTTACAGGGAATTTAATTTTGATTTACAAAGACTTCTTGTAGACTCGAATGTGTGGTTGGAAAATACTTTTCCTCTCTTTGAAGCCACTACTTACCTACCCACAGGTAGTAAATGGCATTCAGCAATAAAAATATAGTACTCTTCTGTGATTTATTGTCTTATACATTTCACATGACCACAGATTTCTGTTCTGAAGAAGCTGGGGTTTGATTTTTGAAAGTAGCACAGATATTTGCATTCATCTTGCTCGTCCTTTGGGTGTGCAGGTGTATTGACAAATGTGTATCTTCCGTGATCATATGGTTATAACATGTAAGGACTAATATCCGCATCCACCTTGTAATGTTATCCCTAAAATGGCTGAAAGAGCATAACAACCAGCAGAAAGGTCTGTGAGACTGACTGCCTTTTCAGCTGAATCTCGGGAGTAACTTGGTGAAGCAGGTAAGAGTTATGCCAGTACAGAGCAGTGTGAGAGGAGAATTAGACCCAGTGTAAGCATGGACGCTAAATACGTGTTGTATAGGCAAAGTATGATGTAATTTTCTTTTTTTTCTTACTGTGTCAGTTGTTGACAATCAGGAAGGGTGATTCAGCATTTCATCATCAGTAATAAAAACACACAGCCACAGAAATCAGTATTGGTTTGAGCATGTGTTAATTGAAAAGAAACTATAACTGAAAAAATCATCACAGCACACTAAT